CACACATTCAGCAGCATCACACCTCAGATTTGAGAAATTAGTATCAAAACGGAGAAAAAAAATCCTTGCTATACAAGGCAATAATCTTATGAAAGATATATTCAAATACAAAATTAGCAAGTTGTGTGGAAGTGGGCTATGACCTAGAACCAAGAGTCGGGGGCTAAGACTGCCAGATTTGAAGCCCAAAGGTAGTTGTATGATTTTATATCCTGAATGGAGCCTGCCATGGTGCTCAGTGCACAGTAGGTGCTCAGTGTATTTCTATTAAATGAATTGAAAGCCCTTGTCTTAATTCAAGTGTTTCACCCTGCTTGCTTACCATCTGGGACTAGTCTCATAATTGTGACTCAACAATAATTATACAATTAGTAATGCCTTGAGATTCTCTCCTTTGTCTTCCTAGGATCTCAGGGTGCTTCCACGTCCTGTCTTATTCATTGCCATAACATCTCTCTGAAGCAAGAGATCTCCATTTTTACAGATTGGTTACAGAGCAGTGACTCAAATCTCTGTTTCTAAAGCTTGGGTGATTAATAGTCATTATACTGACCCAACTCAAAACAGACTTTTTCAGGCTGTGTAGGGTTTCTGAGGCATGAGAATATCTTATCCTTATTGCGAACATCATTATTTTAATTTGGTCTCCAGGATTAGGATCAAAATATTTTTTTTCTTGTTTTGATCCAGATCTGTGATTTTATAGGTGTGGGGAACTCCCAGGCTGGAAATTCCCCTCAGTGATACAGATCGGCCAATCTGTAACTTATACTTGTAGAAAGTTTTCTGAAGCACTGAGGGTTTATTTGTTCATGTTCACCCAGCTAGCTTGTGTCAAAGACAGGACTTGAACTTACTTTTTCCAGACTATATGGTTGACCTTCAAGCCACCACAACTGTCTGCCTCTTATAGAGAGACTCTGATAAATAACTTTTGGAAATACTTGACATACTCTTTTTCTTCAATAATAAATTAAAATGCTCTCTCTTATTCTGTGCTCATCTTTGCTGACTCTATGAGCAGAGTCTCAAAATTACATGCCAGTTTTTTTTTTTAATGAGATCTTATTCTAATATCTTAGTCACCAGTACTTCTCTTGGGGAAAGGGAATTTAAAATTCATGTCTGACCCTTGCAGATGTTGCATTTCAACAAAAAAGTGTTAAATGTGGTGTGTACAAGTTCTCTATAGGGCTGGTATCTAATACATTGCTTGATTATGGATTTCACAATACATTTGTGAAAGGCAAAAAGACAAACCCATTTCTTCTCTCTCCCTCAGTGGACATCAGGGAAAACATTGCTTATTTACTTTGTAAATGAGGACACCCAGTGGCCATAGAGTGAAAACAGAATGAGAATTCCTGCTTGTGATAATGCAAATACAGATATCACAGCTAATCTGTGACTGTTTCTATAGCACCTGAAAACATAGCTTGTTTCATATTTATATGGAGATAAGTAAAGAAGTAGTAAGAAAGCACCAACTTGTCCTTGATGAATATTTATTTCATTTGCTCCAAGTGAACATCATTACTAGATACTGAAACAACTAGCAAATGTGATTGCTGAGCCATGGTCACTGATGTTTGAAAGGCTACAGAAAACAGAAGTGGTACCACAGGACTGAAGAAGGGCAAATATCTCAATGACCAAAACAGGAAAAGAGAATCAATTCTACAAACTTTAAGCCAGGAAGCTCGACTTTGATATCTATGAAAACTATAGAATTAAAGAGATGGTTAGTGAACATCTAGAAAAGGAGGAGATTAAGAGAGCCAGCATGGCTTCATTAACAACAGATCATCTTTGTTCATTAATAGATCAAGAGATTACTACAGATGAAAGAATTAGATTTTAGCGAAACATTTGATTTTTTTTTAAAAAAATCATACTAATTCTTATGGAAAAGAATGTAAAGTTATAGTCTCTAGATGACAATACAATTAGAGAGACTTTAGTACAGTTGAATGGTCAGACTCAAATATAGCCAATAAGAGTTCAAGGTCATCTTGGGAAAAGATCTCTACTGGAGTGCCCCCACGGTCTAGGCTTGACCCTGTACCATTTAGCAAGTTTATCAGTGATTTGGATAAAGGTATAAATGTCATAGTTATCCAAATGTACATACAACACAAAGCTAGATGTCATAGTTAACATACTTCATGACAAAGTCAGGATCGAAAAGATCTTGACATGGTAGAAAGCATATACAAGAGGACAATGAAGACAGTAAAGAGTTTTGAGTCTCATGTCATGAAACCCACTTGAAGGAAATGGGAATATTTAGCCTGGAGAAGACAAGACTCAGGGGGGAATGTAGTATCTGTCTTCAAATGCTTGAAGGACTGTCATGTGGAAGAGGAAATCAGGATTGTCCTGTTTGCCCTTAGAAGCCAGAACTGGGAGCAATGGATGGAAATTACAAAGAGGCCGAGTCAGGCTTGATTTCGGGAAAAAGCTTTGCTGACAGTCTTAGAATTTTTCAAAGGGGAAGCAGGCTGCCTTGGAAAGCAGTGAGTTCTCCATCACTAGAAATATTCAAACAGAGGCTAGATGTTCACTTATCAGCTATATTATAGTAAGAGTGTTCTAGCAAGTGTATGGATTAAACTAGATGACCGCCGAAGTCCCTTCCCACTCTAAAATCCTGTGGTTCTGTGTGATGAGGGGTCTTCATCAACCACTTTCACAGCACTTTATAGGTTGGTCACCTCTCCCCTCCCTTTGTGTAACAAGGGCCAGCTCAGCTTCAAGCTCCAGTGAATTACCAGCTGGCAACACATTAAACTGTCTGTCAAAATGTATGGATTTGGAAGTATGAGGATAATGATGATATATGAACCCTTTACTCCAATACCTATGCATTGATGTGAGCAGTTTATAAGGATACAACATTGAAGAGATTGAAGAAAAATAGCTTTAAAACTAAAATTTGTACTGAATACATAATTGAAAGATGCTATTGGGTAGTGGGAGAGTCAGGGAGGGAGGGGAAAGAGAAGAGGAGGAGAGGATTAGAGAAATTATATTGCCCACCAAACAGCCTAGGATTGTTGCATGGACCCAGTCTCTCTGAAGACACAGAGAGAGGCTATGACACAGAGAAAACATAGTCTGAATCTCAATCAACTTTGAGTATGATGGAAAATTCATTTCATATTTACTGAGCATCTTCTACATAGAACCATATTAAATTCCGTGGCAGATATGTATGTATAAATACATGCATAGCATAATTCCTACATTAAAGAAGTTGATGCTTTTACTTTACATAACAGAATTTACACAGGTGAAACAATTGAAGGCCGAGGCATGTGATATAGACAGTAAGTGCATTGGGAAATCACTATAAGGTGGCATCATCAGAGGAAGCCTCACAGAGAAGATCTGACTTGATTTGGGCCTTGAAGAATGCATATGGTTTGGATAAGTGGAGAGAAATGGGGAGAACAGACAAGGAAAGGAAAATAAAGTGAGAAGAGGGGGTGAAGAAAGATGGTTAAGACGATATGTAGAAGACAGTAAACTGACTTACTGGAGTACACCAGAAAGTTTATCTAATTCAATCCAACAAATGTTTATTAAATACCTACTGAGCACAAAGCACCACACTAGGTGTTGGAGATTCAAATACAAAGCAAACATTCCCTGTCCCTTACATTCTACTGGGGGATATGTTTATAGATAGGAAAATCAAAAGCAATATTGTATTGTATGGCCAGATTGTTAGACTACTAACAACTACAGTACTTATAAAAAAACATGTTATGTCTGACCTTTATATGCCATTTCATTTTATGTGTATCTACAGAAAGGTAGTAAGCAATATTTTCCTCCATATTAGCAGGATTTTTGATGGAAGCCACTACATGTGATTTTACCCATTTGCCATACTTACCAATTATTATTCACAATACTTTTCTAGGATTTTTCCTCATCCCTGCACTAATGAAAAAAGCCCTTCCCAAAAGAAGCCTTGTCCCCGTTTATATAACAGCTAACTGCCTTTCAGACATCTCAAACTGGATGTCCAGTAGACATCTTAAATTCAAAACATCCAAAACTAAACTCATTATCTTTCCTCCAAACTGTCCTCCATCTTCTGCCTTCTCTATTACTGTAGAGGGTAACACCGTTCTCCTAGGCCCTCAGACCCCAAACCTAGGTGTCATTCTTGATTTCTTACTATCTCTCATCCCCCATATCCAATCTGTTGGCAAGGACTCACAGTTTCAATTTTGCAATATCTCTCACAAATTCCCCCTTCTCTTCTCTGACACTGCCATCACTCTGATATAGGCGCTCATCACCCCACACCTGGACTATTGCAATAACCTGCTGGTGGGTCTGCCTGTCTTAGGTCTCTCCCCTCAGTAATCTATCCTCCATTCAGCCACCAAAATGATTCTCCTAAAGCTCAGGTCCAACCATGTCACCCTGCTCTCCCTTCTCCTCCTCCTACCCCTCCCACCCCAGAATGAGCTCCAGTGCCTTCCTGTCACTTCCAGCATCAAATACAAAATCTTCTGTTTGGCATTCAAAGCCCTTTATAAACCACCCCCATCTTTCCAATCTTATGCCTTACTTTAGAACACATGCTTTTTGACAGTGACACTGGCCTCCTTGCTGCTCTGTGAACAGAACACTTCACCTCTCAGCTCCAGGCATTTTTCTGACAGTCCCCTATGCCTGGAACTCTCTCCCTCCTCATCTCTGCCTCCTGCCTTCCTAACTAAAATCCTATATTCTTCAGGAAGCCTTCCCCAACTTTTTTAAGTCCATTGTCTGCCCTCCATTAATTATTCCTATTTATCCTGTACCTAGTTTGTTTGCACATGCTTGTCTGTTGTTCCCCCCCCACCCCACTAGACTATGAGCCCCTTAGGGCAGACACTGCACTTAGCACACTAATATATAATAAATGTTTCTTGACTAACTTCTGAGACTGACTAATATGGTTAAAAATAATACTTAATTTGGATCCCATTTTATCTTACCTCTGTGCTATAGAGCCTAGCCAATTTAGAAAATCAGGCCTCCAAGCTTCTTTGGAGAGATTCATTATCCAGTGACTCTGTAAGCCTTGAGCTGTTCTTTTTCTTGATGACTGAACTTCTTCACACTTGAAGCCAATTATCCATTATGTACCAACACTATGTCTCCCTTAGAACAATGGAATGCCTTCTTGTTGACGAATAGAAATCTTCCAGAACCTGGACAATTATACATTGGAGGGATTTTTTTTTAAGCCACAAATGGGATGGAATGAGGAAGAAAAATAATGTATTCATTATGAATCTGAAAACACTCTTCAGAAGCTATTTATGACAACAATAAAAAGAAATGTAAAGGAAATTCTGCCTATCAAGATATTCCACAATTAATTTAACTAGAAAGCTTATTTTATTTTTAAAAAATGGGGTTCTGTTTTATCATTATTTGAAGGCCAGATAAAAATTTTTCCATTTGTAAGTCAAATAATAAATTTTGTGCCTGCCTAAAGACTCCATCATTAGCTTTTAAGATTTAACCCAAAGAACTTTCATTCCCAATACCTTTATTGCCTCTTTGGGCTAATATAGGATTTTTGTTAAAAGTTCATTTTCCATTCAAATAAGACCGGGATGATTTAAAGCTATTTAGAGAGAACAGATGTACCCAGGATTCTTGAAGTGATTGTGTAAAAGACATCATCCTCTTAATTTCCTTTAAAGCAAAATAAAAGGCCACCACTTACTTTGTACTTGATGACACAAATCATTCTTGAAAGCCTTATTTGAGCCTAAGTTCAAATTGCATAACTTGTAGTGTGAATTTAAGTTGATCTTTTTTGTTCATTTCTGTAGTCCCACCCACGGATGCAGCATCTCAGGTTTTTTTGTTCTGCAGATTTAGTGAACAAAGGAAAAAGGTTACAATAGGGCATCAGCTAAATTTGTAAAGAAAGAGCTTTAGAAAAATCAAAATCCCCCCAAAAAAAGTATCTCAAAAGGTTTACAAGATAAGAGGATTTAAAGACATCAACATCAGATTTCATTGACTTCTCTCCTTCATCCCAGCATGTCCTACTCCCTCAAGAAGAAGCCATTTCATTTAAACACTAGGAGGAGGGCATCCATAGCTGTCCTTCAATATGTTGTCTGGCGCCATAGCCATCAGATACTTTTGTGCACAGTTAAAACAGAGCTCTCAAATTCTAGTAGAAGAGGGCAAAGAAAGCTTTTGAACTCACAGCGTTTTATTCCTCTGCATAAAGGCATTCCATGAGAATCTGTGCTTCTAAGGATAAAATTCACATCACTATGCATTGTATACAACAACAACAACAAAATCCCAACGTATAGAATCATAAAATCTTAGTGCTAGGAGATACTTTAGAGCTCCTCTTTGTGGCCAACCCCCTCATTACGTACAGCACTGAACACATAATAGACAAATACTTGTCGACAGATTAATGTACATTTCAAACAAGAAAGGTTGTGAGGGTGTCATTTGTATTTGTTAATAGCAGGCTCCAGTTGGAATCAGACAAGGCTACTTCACATACATAAGGAAAAGCAGACAAAGCCAACCTTTACAGCTAGAAAGTTTTCCCTCAGTATAAAATTTTCCCCCACTATGTTAGCTCCTTGAAATCTGAACACTAGGGTTTGTGAAATGTGTCCATTATGACCCATTGTCCCAGCAAGAGCAAGGCCCTGAAGGAAAGAAGTCTCACACTTCTGATTTTTCATGGGATGAGTGGAAGACAGAAGGAAGAAATGAGGAGCACAGGCTCAGATCAAAGCTCCACAGTGCGGGGCCCTGGGCATGCAAGGAACAGACAAAGGTTAGAGTCTGCCGAAAGAGGATAAAGAATTTCAGAAAAGAGGGAGAGCAGTTTGTTCATTTGACATTTTTCCCCAAGTTCAACCCTGTTTGCTTTATCCCTCAAATATAATGAAGTTTATGGTATAAGAAATGCCAGAAATGGAGGAAAGGTGGTCTTGGGCTCTCTAATGAAAATATTTTCAGAGTGTTCAGGTTGTATTCTGGTAACTTAAAATGTTTTGTCACCTAGGTTACAGAGATCGTATTTATGTATTTTCATATAAATTTTCATAGAAGTATCTAATGTTTTGATGGTAGAAGGGAAGGGGAGGAAGGAAGAAAATAAGCATCTATATGGCACCTACTATGTGCCAAGCACTGGTTTAAGCACTTTACAGATATTATTCTCATTTGATCTTCACAACAACCCTGTGAGGTAGATGCTGTTCCTGTCCTCATTTACAATTGGGAAACTAAGGTAGAGAGAAGTTTAGTGACTTTTCTAGAGCTACATACAACTAGTAAGTGTCTGAGCTAGGATTTCAATGAAAGTCTTCTGATTCCAACCCAATGCTCTATCCACTGTGCCAACTAGCTGCCTAAACAGTAAATAAAAAGATATTCTTTCCTATACATCTTCTAGAGACAGCTAGGTGACAATGGATAGATCACTAGACTTGGAGTCAAGAACACATAAGTTCAAATCCTGACTCAGACACTAACTATGTGCGACCCTGGGGCAAGTCCCTTACCTGCCGTCAACCTCAGTTTCCTTCTGTAAAATGAAGATGTTAGTAGTACTTATTTCCCAAGGTTATTGTGAGAAGACAATGAGATAGTGTGTGAAGAGCTTTGCAAACTTTAAAATACTATATAAATTTACCTAAAATTATTAGTTTTTATTATCTGCATTAACTGACAAAATGGCATCTGCTTAGAGTGCATCTGACACAAAGAAAACCTTGACAAGTGATGGTATGTTTCATCTGTATAAAACTGGATCATGCTTTATGCCAGGAATGCAAGAGGAAGCCTTTCCAAGTTTCAGCTAATGATATTATTTTGGAAGGGTTGTAGGTTTTTCTTCCTCTCTTTAAACCTTCTCTCTCTTGCTTTTTCTCTGCCTTTCTTCTCTTCCTCCCTCCACCTGTCTCTTTGTTTGCTCCCTCTTCTCCATAGTTCTCATGAAAACTATTTTACCTCTTCAGCTAAGGTAATGACCTCTCACCTTAAAAAGTGCTGTGTTGTATAGAAAAGACCATATCTAGGATGTACCCCAGAATGAGAATAGAAAAAATATCATGCATATGTATATACACTGAAAGATAGAGACAGAATAAAGAACTAATACAAACAACAGATTTGGAATAAATAAAAAGTCTAGCCTAGATTCAAACAGATACAGTATGATCAGCTTAATTTAAATAACTATGAAGTAGTTTACTTGCTTTTTCAACAACAGCAATCTTAGTCACAAGGCAAAAAAAAAAAAAAGACACCACTATCAGCTATGTTTACAAAGGATAGCAAAATGTAGTTTACAAGGCAAATTTGCTTATTTCTCAGCATATGTAATCAACTTACTCCACATGAAAAGTGAAGACAAGTATCATGTTATAGTGTGGCTCTACCATTGACAGCACATCTAGTTAGCACCAACTGTTTCACATAGTGTTAAACAGCGTAGTTACTAGTCAGAGTAGTAACAAGTTTTACCCAGCCAAACCAATCATTGTAGTGATGGTGTTTGTACTTGATTTGGTACCTGCATGACGGTCTGGGCATCTCTTCCGCCAATGCTTTAGTAAAATGGTCTTGCTTTGTCTAAAATATCCATTGCCTCCTGGACAATACTTTAGTTATGTACCCTCCACACTTAGCTCTTCCGGTCTTCATAAAATTAATACACAGTCCTTCACTGGAACTACACTTGAAGGCTTGATCAGTCAATCAACAAGCATTACTACCATGTACCAGGCATGATGCTCAGTGCTAGAAATCAAAAGAAAAAAACAAAAAGGTCCTGTCCTCAAAGAACTTCTATTCTAATGGGAGAGAGAACAGGTACATAAATAGTTACTTCTGTTGTTATTCAGTTGTGTCTGACTTTCTGCGACCTCATTTGGGGTGCTCTTGGCAAACATGCTAGAGTGGTTTGCCGTTTCCTTCTCTTGCTCATGAAGAAACAGAGGTAAACGGGGGAGTGATTTGCCCAAGGTCACACAGATAGTAAGGGTCTGAAGCCAGATTTGAACTCAGGAAGATGAATCTTCCTGACTCTGAGCCTGACACTCTATCCACTGTGCCTCCTAGCACCTGACAAAATTGATGCTTCACTGACATGGCCACCTTCACACCATTGGCATTGGGTTAGGATTTTCTGGAAGATGATCATAATCATTCAACAAAAGCAGGTGCTGATTCTGTTTCCCACATTTACAGGTTTACAAGCAGTGGGCCAAGCATGCCATGTTGAATTTTACTTGCTATTCATATAGATCATTTGACCTAGCCCTGTTCATTTGACCATATTCATCTTGGTTATTATTTTGGTAATTTTGTTTCCTGCCAAATCACAGGTCTCCAAATTCCCATCTCCCTTCCCACTACATCAGGCTTGTACTAGGCTCATTTTATACAGCCATTTGGTCTCCTGGCTGGGAATAGACCAGATTTCACACCTAATTAAAAGAGATTGTTATTGCCTGCTGTTTCCTTTCTTCATCCTTTTTCCTTACACCCATCAGCATTTTATTCTCATGCTAAGTCCTGTCCTTGTTGGACACCCACAGCTTAAGGACCAGCAGGGAGCAAGGTTCCTATAAAACAGTAAACCAAGCCCTCCATCACCTATTTCACAACAACAAAACTTTCCCTTCAGTTTCTACCCCCTGCTTCAACTCCCTTCTATATTCTGTCTCCTCTTCCTAGATGAATTCCATTCTTGTTTCTGGTGAGTGACATTACAGTCTGATCTATATTTTTTACTCTGTTGAAAAGACATGGGTTTTTTCCCCCCAAAAAAAACCCCGGAACTTTTATCTTAGTGTTTTTTTTTTTACTTTGCCACCAGTTCCATGTTCATACCACTCCCTTTGCTCCCTTCATAGAAAACTCTGCTTTTTTTTTTCTTCAAATGCACATAATCCATGTAAAGTTGTGAGGTTTTGTAGGGTTGAGGCTTTTTTCCCCCCTGAATGGTCCAATTGCCTATTCACTGCCAATCTAAGAAAGAATAGGGTTTGAATTTTCACACCATTCCTTCCTATACAGTTCCTGAATACCCATCCAATCAAGATTTGTTTTCAATGGGGAGAAAACCTCCTACAGTAGACTATTTCAAATTGATTCCATTGGAATCTATACATTAATGTTCATTGGGTGAAAACGAAGCATTTCACAAAAGCTCTGTGCCCAGCATTACTGTCACAGAAACTTTTTTCCCCACTGTATTCCAGTTAAATAGGGAAGAAAGCCTGGGAACAGATCAAGACAGCACTGTTCCCTTGCCTTGGGCATTGTATGCTGTAGGCATGAGATGGTGCTGAATGATGGGGCATGTTTCCCCAGTCTTATTTCTACTAGAAATCAGGAAAAGGTGATCCATCCCTTGTCCACTATTTTTTTTCCTGTAAGAGCGACAGGCATTGAAGGTTTCTCCCTAAGAAGAATGGCAAGTTGATTACTTTTCTGACTTAAATCTTTCTGTGGTTTAAAATAAAGGTAGTAACAGTGAGCTAATAAGTACCAAAAGTTACCTGGTCTCCAAATTCTCAACTCTAATTTGGGCTGACACTTAGTTTGATCATAGATCCTACAACTGGTTTGTGTCTGGCTACATCAAGGTACCAGGTTATCTGACAGTTCCTGGTCTGGGAGTCAGAAGATCAGAATTCAAGTCACAATGTTAGAATTTACTAGCTGTGTGACCATAGGAAAATCACTTCTCCTCCGGTTCCCCAATCTCTCTTTGTAAAATGGGGAAAATTTAAGGCAGCTAAGGTGGCACAGTGGATAGAGCACTGGATCAGGAGACTGAAAGACCTTGAGTTCAAATCCAGTCTCAGACACTGTGTGGCTCTAGGCAAGTCACTTAACTTGTGTCTGCCTTGGTTTTCCTTATCTGTAAAATGGGGACCAGAATAGCACCTCCCTTACAAGGTTGTTGTGAAGATCGAATGAGATAATATTTGTAAAAGTACTTAACACAGTGCCTGGCACATAATAAATGCTTGTTCCCTTCCTCTCTGACCCACAATAATACTCACACTACCCTTTTCTGGGGATGATTGTGAGGAAGACACTTCGTAAAGTACACAAAAATGAGTTATTAATAATAACTACCTGTTCAGTCAAGCAAGAAATTTAAAGAGTACTGGTGCTAGTCATTGGACCTCAGTTCAAATCCCACCTCTGATGAATATACTACTTGTCAGACCTTAGGCACATCACTTAATCTCCCTTGCCCTTAATGTCCTCATCTGAGGAGATTGGACTGGATGGTCTTTGAAGTGTCTTTAAGCTTTAGATTGCTGATTCTGTGTGGTTTTCACAAAATTGACCAATTGTTTGGTTAAATGGACCCAACTTGGAGGGTAGAAATTCACCCTTACGAACAAGTTCTTGGGTTTTTTTGGGGGGAGGGATACATGGCATGTATTATGGTATTATACAAATAGAAGGGACCTTAGAGACTAGCCACCACCACCCCATCATTTTATGTATGAAGAAACTGAGGCAAAAGAGGCTAAGTGACTTGCCCAGGGTCACACATCCAGTAACTGTCAGAGGCAGGATTTGACCTTGGGTCTTCTAAACATTGGTCTTGGAAGCAGGAAAACTTGTCATCATGAGTTCAAATCTAGCCTCAGATACTTACTAGCTGTGTGACCCTGGGTAAGTCACTTAACCATGTTTGCCTCAGTTCCACATCTGTAACATGAGCTGGAGAAGGAAATGGCAAAACACTCCAGTATCTCTGCCAAGAAAACCCCAAATGGGGTTGTGACAAATCAAACACAACTCAAATGACTGAACAACAGCTTCTGATTCAAAATCCAATAATCTGTCTTCTACTCCATGACATGGAAGTCAGTCTAACATGAAGAGGTAAACAGGAAAGAGAAATCATAGGAGACTTATTAAGGTTGAACTGTTTACATTCCTGCATGGAAAGATGATATTTATAACTCATGAGACCTTTGTCAGTGTTAGGGTAGTTGGTGGGAAAAAATTATATGTATGTATATATAGATATATAGATATAGATAGATAGATAGATAGATAGATAGATAGATAGATAGATAGATAGATAGATAGATAGATGATAGATGGTGCAGGGTGACATGAAGATGAAGGGATCATATCTGGAGAATAAAATTAAGGGGTGAGAGAGGATTATACTGGGAGAAGGAGAAAGGAAGAGGTAGAATAGAGTAAATTATCTCACACACACAAAAAAAAAACCCAGAAAAGGAAGTCAGTCTACTTCTATATCTTGCCCAGAGTCACATAGCTAGTAAGTGTCAAGTGTCTCAGGCTGGATTTGAAGTCAGGTCCTCCTGACTCCAAGGCTCCATCTACTGCGCTACCTAGCTGCCCCTGCTGATTTTTTTTAAATAGGAAAACATGGTTAATTTATACACAAGATTATTACCTCTCTGGTCCCTTTTATCTGAATCAGCCAGTGTTTTCAGAAGGCAAACTGGTGGTGGCCTCTGATAGTATTACTGTGTCTGATCAGAAACACAAATGGACGTCATCTATATGACATGCAACTATCAAAACGATTTTCATAGTGCACGGGTATAACCACTCTCTGATCACTGCATTCCATTGGCTCTCTGTTACTTCTAGGATCAAATACAAATTCCTCAGTTTGGAATTTAAAGGCTTTCACAACCCAGCTCCTTATTAAACATTATTCCCCACTTGGAATGTAATCTTTTCTCATCCTGACCTCTTAAGACTCCTAGTTTCCTTCAAAGCTCAGCTCTAGTACCTCCTTCTCCATGAAGCCTTTCCAGAATCCCCCAGCTACTAGTGTGACACCCCACCCCAACAGCAACAGAAATAATATAGCTGGGGCTACTCAGAGATAAGGATTAATGATCTCGGAACAATAGAAGGTCAGTGTGTGTACATGTGTATGTATGTGTTTCTGAAGTAGTAGCTAGAGCAAGACTGATGTGCAGAACCATGTAATGAAAGTTTAGTATACAGGCAAGTGAACCAGAGAAGAGGAGAGGGTACAGGAAAATATGGAACAGTCTAGAAACAAGAGATTGTGTAGGAGAGGTGGAAAGGTGGAAGAGTGGAATTTCAAAGTCACTTAACCCCGATTGCCTCATCAAAAAAATAAAAATGAGAAAAAAATCAGCAGCTTCCCCAAGATCACTAGTTTTGTTTCCAGTCCCCTCTCTCCACTGCCATCATCCAGGGATGAACAACATGTGGAGCAATATGGCTCAGGCCTTCATCCTCTCTCATCTGGATTTTTACAAGAGCCTCCTATTTTGTCTCCCTGCCTCACGTCTCTCCCCATTCCAATCCATGGTCTATACAGCTGCCAAAGTAGTTTTCCTAAAGCCAGTTGTGATCATGTCACTCTTCCCTACCCCTCACTCAGTAAAACATCAGTGGCTCTCCATCATTTCTTAGATAAATGGCATTTAAAGCACATTCCTACATCTCCAGCCATCTTCCACATGACTCCACTCCACACACTCTATAGGACAGCCAGCCACACCAGCCTACGTGCTGCTCCTCACACTCAATGTTCATCTCTCATCTCCTTCTGCTTCTGGCTGCCCTTGGAAGTGTTACGGAACACATGCAGCCCATGAGACACTTGTTTGACACCTCTGTGGTAAACAATTAATAAGTGGTTTTTCATTGAGTAATCATTAGCATAATTGTGATAACAAAACCACTTCCCAGGGTCAGGATTGCTGTTCTGTGACCTTTTAGGCACCCATTTCCCAGTAGGCTTCAGAGAATTTAAACTACTCCTTGTACACTCACTGTGAAAAACCTTGTATGAGGCATTAGAGATGGCAGGCATATGTAGATATGGAATGGAAGCAGAGGAATGTCACTTTCTTGAGTTAATTAAAGCTGGCTTGCATCTATAACCCATTCTTCAACTGAGAAACGTTTAGTTAACCTAATGGTGAATTTCATTTTCTCAGGGATTTTGCATAGATGGTAGGGAGGGGTTTGCTCATTTAATTAAATGAATACATGAGATGTTTGAAAGTTTTAGCTATTAGATTCATTTTTGTCTGTGAGTAAAACAAAGAGATGGGAAACCTTTTGTCAGCTCGGAGGAGCATAGGGATTTAACCAAGTTCAGGGACTGACCAACTCTACAGAGGCTTTAGGAATGGGCTGAAAATTCATTAGTTAATAGTTTGCTTTCAGTATCTCTTGAGTAGAGGTTGAATGAGTTTAGTAAGTATGCTAACTAAATAACATATCTAGTTGTACTTCAACTGGCATCCTTCTCTCAAAAGCTTTAGGCTTTTGAGTGGCTCCTGCCTGGAACCAGACCCTCATGGGGAATGTAAACATGAAGAGGGGGTGGATGAGGACTACAGCTATTATGCCAGAATATGGACTCTGCATCCAAAATAACTATGATTCTGGTTAGCCCAGAAGTCTAGGCAACATTCAAGCTCTTGACATAATGGGTTACCTTTCCTATGCTCTGTGAGGTCCACAAAAGCATGTCCAGGTCATTGCTTCTTTATCCCCAGTTATGCCACTTGCATGGCCGTGGGTAGAGTAAGCATTACCCCAAATCTAGAGGCTGAACAAGAAAGAGATCCAAGTCAGCTCTAATAAATGCCTTTATCTTGTTTGTTTTGCTTTGCTACAGGTGACATCAGTTGCAAGGGGATGACCGAGCGCATTCACAGCATCAACCTTCACAACTTCAGCAATTCCGTGCTCGAGACCCTCAACGAGCAGCGCAACCGTGGCCACTTCTGTGACGTGACGGTCCGTATCCACGGGAGCATGCTGCGTGCCCACCGTTGTGTGCTGGCCGCTGGCAGCCCCTTCTTCCAGGATAAGCTGTTGCTGGGCTATAGTGACATTGAGATCCCCTCGGTGGTGTCGGTCCAGTCTGTACAAAAACTCATTGATTTCATGTACAGTGGGGTGCTCCGGGTCTCCCAGTCAGAAGCCCTGCAGATCCTCACAGCTGCCAGCATCCTCCAGATCAAGACCGTGATCGATGAGTGCACGCGGATTGTGTCACAGAACGTTGGTGATGTCTACCCAGTGATTCAGGACTCTGGCCAGGAGACCCCCAGGGGGACCCCTGAATCAGGCACCTCGGGGCAGAGCAGCGACACAGAATCTGGCTACCTACAAAGTCATTCCCAGCACAGTGTGGACAGGATCTACTCAGCCCTCTATGCGTGCTCCATGCAGAATGGCAGTGGGGAGCGCTCCTTCTACAGTGGGGCCGTGGTTAGCCACCATGAAACGGCCCTTGGGCTGCCGAGAGATCACCACATGGAAGACCCCAGCTGGATCACCCGGATCCATGAACGCTCACAACAGATGGAGCGGTATCTTTCCACCACTCCAGAGACCACCCACTGCCGAAAGCAACCTCGCCCTGTCCGGATCCAGACCCTGGTGGGGAACATCCACATTAAGCAGGAGATGGAGGATGACTATGACTACTATGGCCAGCAGAGGGTGCAGATCCTGGAACGCAACGAGTCTGAGGAGTGCACAGAAGACACGGATCAGGCCGAAGGCACCGAGAGCGAGCCCAAGGGGGAGAGCTTCGACTCAGGGGTCAGCTCCTCCATTGGCACAGAACCTGACTCTGTTGAACAGCAGTTCATGGCTGGGATTGGCCGAGAGGGTCAACCAGAGCCTTCTCAGACGGAGCCAACTGATCTCCCCACAGAAGGAGGCCAACAGCAGCAGCAGCAGCAGCAGCAGCAGCACCTAGATGCCAACTCCTCTTCCCCAGAGAGGAGCAATGATGTGGAGATGGACAGTACCGTGCTCACGGTTAGCAACAGCACTGAGAAAGGAGTCTTGCAGCCTTCGGTCAACACGTCGATTGCCCAGCCATTGCCAAGTACCCAGCTCTATCTACGCCAGACAGAAACCCTCACCAGCAACCTGAGGATGCCCCTGACCTTGACCAGCAACACACAGGTCATTGGCACAGCCGGCAACACTTATCTGCCAGCCCTCTTCACTACACAGACCGCAGGCAGTGGCCCCAAGCCTTTCCTCTTCAGCCTGCCCCAGCCCTTAGCAGGCCAGCAGACCCAGTTTGTGACAGTGTCCCAGCCTGGCCTTTCAACTTTTACTGCCCAGCTGCCAGCCCCACAGCCCCTGGCCCCATCTGCAGGCCACAGCACAGCCAGTGGGCAGGGGGAAAAAAAGCCTTACGAGTGCACTCTCTGCAACAAGACTTTCACAGCCAAACAGAACTACGTTAAGCACATGTTTGTACACACAGGTGAGTGGCGGCCCTGCAGGGACTCACCCAGCTGAGGTGGGAGACAGACAAGGGAGGGGGAGGGTGGAGGTCTTAGAGGTTAAAGAACAATCATTATTCTGACCAGACCCAAGGTATCCTCCCAAGCCCTCTTCATTCTGGATCACCTGTGCAGAGGACCTGATTATCTGTGCTGCTTACTGGCCACTCTGCCCTGGAAAGGCAGTAATACAATCCATTTTTGATGGAACCTTTTAAGAAGAGGTTGGAATGATCAGGCATAGTTGTCCCTTAGATATATTGTGTTTCCTAGAGTACAAAAGAGTGATTCTTTAATGTGCTTCTTCCTTAGGAAATTGTGACTCCAAAGTTAACTGTGCACATCTAGGCACAAAGGTTAGCCACCAGTATAGTATGGCCTTAGGAAGCTGTCAGTTTTTACATGTTTAGAAATATTTATCCCTGATGGTGACAATTGGTCATGAATTTCCTTTTATCAAAGTCAAGCTTTGGGGTTAAGTCATTAACTCCAGAAGATTCCTGTTAAAATACAAATATGAGAGGGATAACACATCTGTGTCGATACAAATGAGCACAAATTAGTTTAAATTAACTAGCTATAACCTAGCAGGACTCTAAGGGATCAGCTACAAAACAGGTAAGTTTTAAATGGTGATGGTGGTTGATAGGGATGAGTTATGGAGGGAGAGGTGATGGAAAGTCTGGATGCACAGGCCCCGTGAGGAGAACACTGCGTACCTTGGAAGAGAGTCCTAAATGTCAAAGTGAAAACTGAAATGAATGGAAGGCTCATAACTGAGGAAGAACTTCGCAGCTTTGTTAGTAGTTACTCCTGTGTGGCTTGTTAATGCGTGCAAGTGTAATCACATAAAAAAAACATTCAAGTAGACCATGCAAGCACCAGAGTCAAAGTACACTTGAAGCATTCAGTGCGGCTCACCTTTCCCTTTCAGTCCCCCCACCCCCACCTCTTACCCCCTCCCCAGTCCCTAGCAGGCCAGGAGACTCAAAATCCCTGGTACTTGTGAGGATACACGAACTCTGGTTGTAATTTCAACCAGGCCCAGAAAAATAGGCTTGTTCATTACCAGCTGTTGCCACATAAGGCAATGCATGATGTAGCTGTTTTGCATATCACGACATTACTTGGGAAAGAAAGTGTCTCTCTTAACGCAATTTAGTTTCAAATGAAGCAATTTCACAGATAACCCCCTTTGTTACATTCTATATTAACTCTAAAGGATTTTTTCTACTGGCCTAGGAAAATCAATTCATAATCTCTTGGGACCACATTTTCAAAATAACCACTAACCCGTCACCCACAAAGTTCTAGTGTCCTACTGAAAACCAGCCTCTTGGTCTTTTCTCATGTTTCTCCAATGCAGATTCTTTGGTTAACCCCAAATGACCATACATTTGCTCATACAAAATCTAGGATTACTTTGCAAATTTGCATGTTGGATATAAAGGCTAGCAGTCAGTTCATAACATCAAGCTCCAGTAATTATGAGTGAAAGAAATTGTATTGTTCGCCTGAGACTCTCTGTTGTTCTAGTGACTCTCAAAATGTTTTCCACAAGTATCTGTTGAACTGTGAAAGATCATCCAGGTGGTCTTCAGTGTGGACTCTTGGGTCCTAATGTTTCCAATAAGGCCACAGTTATTGAATAATAATTTATTATCTCCCTCAAAAGAATAGAAAGAAATAGGAAGAAACAGCAGCATCCCATTCATTCTGGAATTACTTATAGGGAGAGACTGAAATGGGATGGTATAAATGGCCTGTCAGCTGTTTTGCCTTACCATAAGAGTTCATTATCTTTATTAAAGAAAAAAAAAAGGAAACTCTTCATCTAAATCTTCAAAAGCCAAAATAGAAAGGATACATCTAGGTTCCCTTGTCTTACCTCAACTGTAACACCCATCACAGTTCTCTCTACTCCCCGGAAAAAGTCAGTCAGTAAACATTTATTAAATGCCTACTGTATGCCAGGCATTATGTTAAGTGCCGGGGATACAAAGAAAGGTAAAAAGCAGTGGCTGCTTTCAAAGAGCTCAGAATATAATAGGGAGGAGTAAAGGGGATAGGATCCCATCACTGTAAAGAAACCCGGAAGGAGTGACCAAAAAACCTAAGACATCCAATATTTGCTATGAAAAGGTTACAAAAAAGCAATGAGGCGAATTCTGTATGTGGCTTATAGAGTCTCTTTCATTATTTTATCATCACATGTATCACATATTATCTAATGCAAAGATAATTAATCATTGTTAGTAATAATAAGCTCAGTTTATTAATTGCTATTTGACAACAGGTGCTTTATAAACATTATGTCATTTGATCACAATAATAACCCCATAAAGTAGGTACCAGCAGTATTATCATTCCCATTTTCCAGATGAGGAAACTAACCCACAGATAAATTTAGTGACTTGCCCAAGATCATCTCTTTGGCAGCCTGGACTCATGACTCCAGTAAGAGAGCTCATTCCATGAGTCTGTGCTGTCTTTTTCAATTATTAAAAATTCAGATATCCTGAAATATTGCAAGACTGAATCCAAACGAGAATTCTACAATCTAATAAAAATTGTTGATGGCTCCTATGTGGAGGAATCACACATATTTCTCAAAAGGAAGAGCTTAGCACACATAGGAAATGCATCCTAGCAATTCAAGCTTGGAGCTTTGAAGTAAAAAAAAATGCACATTTAAAACCACACTCTATATGCATTGTCTTTCTTTGCTCTACCTCTTCTCTGTGTCTAGACTTTTGATGTCTCTTTTCCTTCTCCACCTCCTTGCCAGATACAGCTAGTTGTTCAAGATACCAATATTGAGATAGGGAGAGAGGGAGGAAACCAGCATTTATTAAGTGCCTACTATGTGCCAGGTACTATGCTAAGCTCTTTACAAATATTATCTCAAATTGAATCAGATCAGATGAGATCCTCACAGCAATTCTGGGAGGTAGGTTATTGTTTTTTATTGTAACATTTTTATTATTTCCATAATTATTATTAGTATTATTATCCTCATTTTACAGTTGAGGAAATTGAGGCAGATAGAAATTAAGTGACTTGCTTAGGGACATACAGTTGGTAAGTGTCCAAGAATGGATTTGAACCCAGGTCTTTGTGACTCCAGGCCCAGCACTCTATCCCTGAACCATCTAGAAGTAGTGTGATATCCATACTTTGTGAAGTGTTACAGCTAAAATGGATCTTGGGAATCATCTAGTCTCAACACTCTCTTTTTACAGATGAAGAAGCTGAGCCTGAAATTATTAAGTAACTTGCCCAACCAAAGTCACAGAGAATTTAATGAGGTCCAAAATAATGAGGTTTTACTCTAGAATTAAAATGAACTTTAAATG